GGTGATCAAGCTTGTTAATAATTGAAAACGGGGTAAAACGACCTCTATTAATAAGGAAAGAAGAGGGTCAAATGATTAGAAAATAGTCAAAAATCAAATCAAAGTAAAACAGGTTCCATCGCGGCATGACAACCTTGCCACGGCGCGACAAGCTTGTTGCAGCGCGATGATCCTGCAATTTTGCGGTTTTTGTTTTTATCATAACTTTTGATCTAGAAATCGGAATAAGATAAATAATATATCGTTAAAATATCTAGAAGCTTACTTTCCAATCCAATTAGAATCAGGTTGATAGAATAAAAGATATGATTGAAATAGTGGAACAGTGTCAATTTTAGATAGAGTTTGATATTTCATTCATATCTTTTTCGTTATAGCTCAGAATTAGGACTATGATATATCATTGGAAAAATAATTTCAAAGGCTATCCAACCATTTAATATCTGGATAAAAATTATGAGGCAAGAAAATCATATCTGAGCATCTTTAAATTCAAATAGAACAAGGATTTTCAAAAAGAGGAGTTGTACTGTATTATTCAATTTCAAACTCTTTGATCTTTATCTTTCGAAAAAGATAGATTAAAACCTTCTAGAGATTTATAGAAGTTCCTAATGAATCATAATTGGTTTAGGTTTGGGATTAAGGTATGTGGACTCTCCACATGAACATTGGGTCGTAGGTAAGGTGGACCTAGGTCCGATTTGGGATTGGTTTAGTATTTTGGTCATAACTCCTTCGTTTTAAGTCAGATTTGGGCTTATAATATATCGTTAGAAAAATCTTTTCAAACCCCATCCAAATAAACAATAATTGGATCAGTATTATGGACCAAATTAAACTGGTTTGGACATTTTTATAAAAAGGACACGAAATGAATGATTTTGGAAGACACAAAATGAATGATTTTGGGTTTAAAGACACAAAATGAATGATTTTAGTCTAAAACATTTTTGGAAAGGTTAGAAATGGTCAAGGCTAAAGAGAAATCACGAGACTCTTCAACTCTTCACCTAACTCGATAATCAAAGACGTGAAAGATACTCATCACTGAGTTTGGTTTTTGGGGAGACACAATCAGGTGTCTACAGTTATAAATTTACAGCTTTTACAACTTGCAAATACAACAAATTAAACAAAAAATACTTGTTTAGCAAATTTAATACATATATTTATAACTATTGTTTTTATTTTTATTGATTAAAAATTTGGCTTGAATTGATGTATGATTTGCGCTTAAGTGATACTTTTACTAGATTATAAGGTATCTTACAGGTTCTGGTTCCAACAAATTGAGAACCTAAACTAAAACCTGATGCAACATGTTCTCTATTTTACTACCCGAAATCGAATCGTCTTGTACCGGTTCCGGTTCAAGAACTTGCGGTTCCTAATAGGTCCCGGTTCTGATTTAGTGTACCTTGATTTTTTGCTCATCCCTACATGTGAGTGACCTTAGCTAACTAAAAAGGCCAGATCAATAATCCTCTTAGGGGATGGACATCCTGTCGAGGTAAATCATTATCTAGTAGCGATTAAATACCCAATTTAGAAAAGACCCGCAACCCGATTTCTGATACCATGTTAAATTTTGAGATAATATGAAATGGGACTGGGCAACCCAAACAAGGAGGAGAAGAGTTTTGTCCAAAAACAAGGCTAAGGAGATTCCATACTAAAACCAATAGGTTATAGTAGGAGTAACTCTTATACCTTATAAAGTGGAATTATCTCTCCTCAATCTCTAATGTGAGACATTCACAAGTGGGTTTACAATGAATTTCAACGGGAAGAGATGCTTTTGATTGACAATTTTTAATTTTCCTTATTATTCAAATTCCTCTACAAGTCGCCCTGGGAGTTTAGGGGGAGACCAATTAGTGGAAGAAAAAAAGTTTTATAGAGAGATTTTCTTATAACTTCTCTTCCTTTTGTATCAACTTTGATACCATTTTTCAAACCAAATATGAGAACATGAGTAGAGTAATTTCTTCTTCTTCAATTCCCTCCACCAAATCCACTCTACAAAAAAAAGCCTAAAATTAATTTATTTTAGTCATTCAATTTATTAATCCCTCCATTTTAAGCAAAACGTCGCAATGTATGAAGTGGACAAACATATATTAAGAAATAATATATAGAGGGATCAAATAAAAGATTAATTTAAATAACATAAAGTATAGTTTACCAATGCAAATTTAAATGTTATTTTCAAAGAGTAATAATGAAAAATTAGTTCAACGGCACGTTTTCACATATATTTACCTACTTGAGCTTGTCAGATCTTATTAAAACTAATATGAACTTACTATAACTAATTTAAACTTATTACACTTTAGTAGAGTTTATTTTAGTTGTAAATTGAACTTTGTTAACCCTTATTAATCTTTTCAAATTAATATGACATTCTTTTCCCTAAATTTATTATATCTAAATTTATGTAAAATTAATTTTTCTAATTAGGTGGATATAAGATGAACCGTTATTAGGGGCCTAAGTGAAGTTAGTGGAACTATGGAGAGAGAATTGAAATATGTAATTTGGGTAAATATATAGGTGAGAATTAATTTTTTTTTTCCTTTTTTTTAATAGTGGGTCATTTTCCAAATAAGGTGTGTCCAAATGAGGTGATTAACTTTAAACAAGAAAATTATAAGTTGGTATATAGTTTGGCCGTGTTTGGTGAAAAGCTAAAAGTTGTAGTTGATTGTATTGGTTTATTTTGACTAGATGATTGTATTAATTGTTTCGACTAACTGATTGTATTTAAAAGTGTTTAATAAATACTCCCTTCGTCCCTTAGTTATAAGCCTATATTTCATTTCGAGCAGCATATTTCTATTTAAAGAATGTACTTTTTGACAATATTCTCTCTTTCAACGAGTTGTCATCATTTTTTTTTTGTACTTTTGACATCATTTACCAACGCTTTTTTTCTCTCCACCTCTTCAATAATTACCAACTACCTTTTCTTTCTCTCTATCTCTCTTTAACATATTTATTTGTACTTCCCAATTATGGGTTTTAAGGAATCTCTAAGTTCCTTAATTCCCGTGAAAAATGGAAAATAGACTTGTAAATAAGGGACAGAGGGAGTAGTTGATTGCTTAAAGTTATTTGAGTATGCGAAATGATTAATAACAAGCTAATTGTGGGGTAGGTATTTGAGATAGGGCTTTAGATTAAATGGAGGTATAAGTGTAATTTGACCATAAAATATTAAGTAAGCTAATAAAATAGCTCCTAAAAGATGATTTTTGAAAAAAGTTTATCTAGTGGTATAAGCTCTTTGAATGATCAGCTCGACAATTCTCCATCAAATACTCTAAATGAGCTTATTTAGTACTCAATAATAATCTAATATTAATCAAATAAGCTAATTTGCCCAATAAGCTATCTTCCAAACACATCATTTATAATATAAGATAGTAAATATAAAGAGATAATAATAATAATAATAATAATAATAATAATAATAATAATAATAATGGATTTTCTTGTAGGGACGGAGTAATATAAAAATCAGACAATGTACTAGAGACGAAAAAAATAAAGTATCTCATCACTATTATTGTACCCACAAGAATTGTATGAAGAACAAATAGATATTGAAATGAGGACCTTGATATGATTCCAAAATTAAAAAGGAAGGGTATAGAACTATAGATATAGGTTAAGGACTACTTTTGGAGCTATACAATAGATATTTTGCCTCTTCACTCACCACACGCCCATGCGGTGCCTCCAGTTATGTAACAACGTCCAGTTCTTGTAAGCCAAATTCATATAATTTGGTAGTGTACCACACTTGCATTTGTTCTAATGATAAGAAATCTAAGGTTCTATCTCACAATTTTTAGCATTTACTAACAAGTCATAATACTAATTAACAAGATTAATGAGATTTATGGCATCGGCTAAAATATTTGGGATTAAAATATATCTTCAAGCTCAAATAATTCTTACCCCCATTTTGAAGACTTCCACAATTTAAAAATAACATTACATGGCACAAATTAGGGTAGATAATGTACGACACACTTCAATACTTAATGGGCTATTAAACACGTGTTTATTATTGAATAAGTAAACACAACAAGACATAACATTGCAGGATAGGACAAACTACACAATATAAATAAGCACAACAAGACATGCCACTGCAGGATAGGACAAACCATATAGTAAGGCTTAGCTTAGGTATGCAAGTATGATCAGATAGTGTCATGTGGGCTTAATTAGGCCATGTCTAGGCCGTCCTTTTAAAAATTTCAACTTAACACATAACGAGTGAGTTCATTCACAGTCATCTCTAAGATACACCCATGATCACCTCTACTTTGTTATTAATTCAAAAGTTGGTCATCTTAACCTAACCCTACTAGAAAGTTAATTGGGCATCGTTTTTACACACAAACATATTTTTGATATTGTCTTAGGGCAAAAACAAGCAAGTAGGCATGTCTGAGTTTAGCGAATCTGCGAGTGAATTCAGATAATATTAAATTTAGTCACTTAAAACTTAAATTAATTCATAAATACAAGCTTTTTACAAGCAAGACGACACACCAAGGGTTACCCGTTTTTATTGTTAATTGATATTTTTCTTAGTTTTTCAAAAAAAAATCCCAAATAGAAAATAACAAAAATAGAGGATGTATTTCTCATTATCTTGAGCTTAACCTTATTAATCGACACATGATGGGCTAGAGATATTACACAACGTTGCAGCCACTCTATAGGCTCCATGGCCTCCATCCAACCTCAAGATAAAAGAAAGAAAACAATACAAAAATAAATAATTAGAGTAAATAAAAATCAACCATTCACATAATCACATTTGTCTAATGCTCAGGCCCTCAGCCTCAACTATCTAACACGTGGCACTAACCCAATTTCTGTGGCACGCAATTGGCTTGCCGACTTGCCTATTGCAACTTATTTCTACGTGACTACGTGCAACTACAAATCCTCTATTATTTATAGCCAACACCTTCGATCGTCAACTTTACCAACCAATTATTTACCTCTCTTGTAAAATTATTTGAATTAAAATCTTAGTTTATACATAGAAAATATAGTGAAGCTAAATTATAACAATGGCTTCGTCTATGTTTGTGTTGAATAACAGCTTTTCTAAGGTCTCAAGTGTGGGTTTACCTCCTCAAGTTTCTAGTCTGTGCCCTAACAAAGTTTCACGAGTTTGCTTCCCTTCCGTCTCTCGATTTAACACGGTAATTCATGTTTATTTACCAATACTTATAAGAAGTATTGTATATGTATTATATTACTTAATTACAAATTGGATAGACAAACAATTTTACCATGAAACTATTAGAAAGTCTTGGACACTCATATGTTACTGGACTAAAAGTCAATTTTGTATACTTCGTTTTTTAATAAACCATTTTTTGACTTTTAAAATTTATTACTAAAAATATGTGTAGATAAGTGTTACAGTATTACTTGAAATAAAGTATGTATATCAACAAGGACAACAACCCATCACAATAATAGGTTACTTGTATTTCTAGTTTTTGATTTTGAATGATTTATTATTATTTTTTTTTTCAGTGTGGTTCTTGCTTTCAATTTTGTTGATTTTGAATGTTAGGCTAAATTGGGACTAGAATACTAGATAAAAGTCGAGCTAAGTTCTTATTGTGCTAATGACATTCATTTTTTATTTTTGAGCTTAAAATATGCACACTATCTTTCTAGAGACATGTAAACTAACACTACATTTTGTGCTTTTAGAACCAATTTCCTAGAGCATGTGCTGGGGGAGACGAAGAGATCAAGAAGTACACAGAAATAAAGCAACAAGCCAAAGAAACCATCGACAACGTGATAGAGGGCACCAAGCAAAATGCCGAAGAAGCCAAGGATTGGGCAAGTAAAGGAGTGGCCGACGTTAAGGAAAAGACCGAGGGTGCGGCAGAATGGGCATCCGACAAGGCGAAAGAAGGGGCCGATAGCATCGGAGACACCTTGAAAGAAGCTAAAGCAAAGAACGACGAATCGGCGGAATGGATAGCCGATAAGGCCAAGGAAGGGTTTGAGCAAGTCGGAGACAACCTCAAAGATGCGGAAGCAAAGACCAAGGAAGCTTTGCAAGATGCATTAGACAAAAATTAAACTATACTACGTTACATGTAATACTTCTAGCTAGGGAAGATCTTAATTGTTCTAAAGCAACAATAAGAAGACTCTTTTGACAAGAAGGAATTCGATTTCAATGTAGGATGTTAATCCAAAAATTTTCACTACTCAATTATGTATGATAGAATATTGTCAAAGATTTGGACTCTTTAAACACTTTTGCACCACACTACTTAGTAAGGCAGGGTACTGGGAATAAAAAAATCTTGTTTATGAATATATTATTATTACTACGTTAGTTTAGTTTAAAAAGATTGCTCCATTGTATTTTGTATTCAGGGACAACTTAACCATGAATTTCCATCAATCCATAAGAAATATTCCATAAAATAATATGAGGGGCATTGTTAAATAAGTTTAATTCGTTTCAGCACATATTTTTATTAGCAATTAACTTTTTAAAGTTCATATGCATATAAAAATGGATAAATATATGATTTAAGACACGTCTTAGAAATTAGAAAAGGTGATGTGAAGCTAAGCAATCTTTAAGGGTTAGATGAAGTGATCATCTATCTAAAGGTATATCTTCCCAAACACATTGGTAACCCAAATTTAAGAGACTTTTTTTTTTGACAAAAATTTAAGAGACTATACAAGTGTACGACTAGGATTATCTCTATTATATAAGTGAAGGGGGCAGGTTGTGATGTCCACCTAAAATGGCAACGTACAACACTCCTTTTCCTTTAAAATTGGAAAAGATAATTAAAATAAAGGAAACAAAAAAAAGGAAATATTAATCAATCGGCAAATTAAAAGGAAATATTAATCAATTAGCAAATAAAAAAAGGAAAGATTAATCAATCAACAAATAAAAATGAAAAATTAATCAATCAACAAATAAAAAGGAAAATTAATCAATCAACAAATAAAAAAGGAAAGATTAATCAATCAACAATAAAAAGGAAAGATTAATCAATCAACAATAAAAAGAAAGATTAATCAATCAACAAATAAAAAGGAAAGATTAATCAATTAGCAAATAAAAAAGGAAAGATTAATCAATCAACAAATAAAAAGGAAAGATTAATAAATTAACAAATAAAAAAGGAAGATTAATCATCAGCAAATAAAAAGGAAAGATTAATCGATTAGCAAATAAAAAAGAAAAGATTAATCAATCAACAAATAAAAAGGAAAGATTAATCAATCAGCAAAGAGAAAGAAAAGATTAATCAATCAGCAAATACAAGAAAAATTAATCAATCAACAAAGAATTAAATTAGATAAAAATCAATTACTTGAATTTAGTGAAAATAAATAAATAAATTACATTATCTGTTTTATGTCTATACAATCAATCAATTAATACTCTCTTCATTCCAAAATAATTGACTCGTTTGACTTTTTTCGCTTTTCATATACTAGCTTTGACTATAGTTTTTTTTAGTAACATTTAAAAAACAAATTTTATCGTGAAATATGTTGAATTGTTAAATAAGTATTAATATAAGTTTCATAATATCAATATTTTTAAAAATATTTACTAATATTTAATCATATATATTCTAGATCAAACTCAAACTAGCGCATTGGCATATGTGCTAAGTTTGACTGTGTCAATTATTTAGGAATCGAGGGAGTACAATCAATTACTTAATTTATACAATCAAAGTCATTTCTCATAAATAATCAACTTAAGTTATGACTAAATATTAGTAAATTTGATATTGTTTTATACGTCGTATTAGTACTCCGTATTAATTTTCATATGTCGACGATGAAATATTATTAATCAAACACATATGAGTCATACTATCTACATTGTTAGTCAGGTACCAAGCCCAACTGTCTACCTTTATATTTTCATATTCGCGAATTAATATACAAGTAGTATTTATTTTCATGTACTCCCTTCGTATTTTAATACTTGCTCCATTTCTTCGAACTCTATGGAGTATAAGTGGAAGGAGAGAGAGTATGAAAAAAAAATTAAAATATTATACGAGGGGACTATTAGTGAGAAGAAAAATAGTAAAACATAGTTAAAAGTTTCCATAATATAAAATAAGACAAGTAAAAATACAGCCGTAAAAGAAAAATGGAGGTTGTAATAAAATACGGAGGGAGAGTACAACACAATTGTATTTTCTTGTTGGGCCAAACCATCCTTATCTTCTAACCTACATTGTTGGGCCTAGAGATTCAACAGGCTCCAACCTCAAGAAAAAGAAATTAAAACCATGCAAAAATAAAATAAACCATTTCGTTCATATGTGTTGACTGCTTAAGCTCCCTAACCTCAACAATCCAACACGTGCCAAATTCCAGCTTTACGTGGCATACGAATAACTTGCCACCTTTTCTTTCCTCTTACAACCTCAAACCCTTTATAGTTAACATAACATCATCTTCAATTTCTTCAACCAATTATTTACAATTAGTGTTACACCGATCGAAAAAAATAAGTTGAAATCTTATCTTATTTTTTTGTTGGAAGAAAAATCAAATATTAATTAGCTTTAGTTTTTGTAATGGCGTCTATGTTTATAGTGAAGAACACCTTTTTGAAGGTTACGAAAGTTGGTTTACCTACACAAGTTGCTAATCTTTACCCTCGTAAAGTTTCACGGGTTTGCTTCACTTCTGCCTCTAGATTTAACGAGGTATGTAATTCATGCATTTTTATTTAATATGCACTTGTTGTATAATGTTTTTTGTGTATGAATTTCTTATGCGTGCGGTGGTAACGCCTTACCACCGCTAATTATCATGGGTGATGTGGTGTTATCACGAGATTTTTTGTTGTAGTTTCAAATACTTACCTCTATTTTTTTAAGTTGACAAGTATTCTTTTTTAAAAAGTTTATTTTTAGTTGACACGTTTCTTTTTAAGCAAGTTTTATACCTTGTTTTTTTAGTGTACCTCGCTTGCTTTATCATTCTCTCTCATCTACTTAATATGTGTTTAAATTGAACGCGTCAACTAAATAGAAACGGAGAAAGTATGTAATTATCATATTAAGGTTGATGTGAATTAGTCATATTTAATGATGTTAGCTAATTTAGTTGGTAAGGTTTTGACGTCCGGAGTTACTTACAAGCTATTTGTCAAAACTTAAGAAGTTAAGATCGATCGAGCTTAGCATGTACTACTCCCTAATATTCATAGCTAGAAAGGTTAGGATGGGAAATGAATTTAGAAAGGTTAGGATGGGAAATGAATTTAGCACTTCTCAAAAACGCGGAGATTTTTTTCGAGACACTACTTTGACCATTTATTTATCTAAATATGTTATTAAAATTTCAGAAAAATTGACATTATGAAGTATATATTATATCAAATCCAATAATGTTTTATACAATAAAATTTAGTTTCTTTAAAAAAAAATTAGAAAATCAATCAAGTCAAAATTTTTATGTGAATATAATAGTGAAAAAAGTCAAAATATATCCCTCCTTAAAATAAGAAGGGTACATAAAATCTCATGAATAATTATTCTTGTGTGATACGTGTAGATTATTTTTAAGCTGAAATGTTCATTACTATTTTTGATGGTATATGACAACTTAATTAATTTGTTATAATTTGTGCTTTAGAAGCAATATGCTCGAGATAATGAAGACGAAAAATCTGCTGACAGAATCAGGCAAGCGCGACAAGTTTACGAGAGCGACGAAGAAGCCAAGGAGGTAGAGAGGAAATACTCCGAAATGAAGCAAAAAGCAAATGACACTGCCAACGATGTGAAAGAGAAGGCCAAGGAGAGTAGCCGACAAGCCGGCGAAGCATGGCAGGAAGCCAAGGACAGAGCAAAACAGGGCGCGGAGGCAGCAAAACAAAAGGCCGAAGAAGGCAAGAATCGTGCAAGCGACACAATGTACAATGCAAAAGAAAGGACCAAGGATACGGCAGACTGGACTGCCGACAAGGCAAAGGAAGGAGCCAATAGAGTCGGAGACACTATGCAACATGCAAAACACAAGACCAAGGAGGCAATGCAAGATGCAAAAGAAATGACCGAGGATACGGCGGGTTGGACAGCCGATAAGGCGAAGGAAGGGGCCGGGAAGGTGGGAGAGGCGGTCCATAATGTGAATGAGAAGGTTAAGGAGACGGCGAAGGGGGCGTGGGAGACAGCGAAGGATGCTACACAAAAGGTTAAGGAGACGGTGGTAGGGAAAGATGAGGAGAGCAAAAGGGTGGATGAATATTTGGATGATCATTTGCCTAAGCGTCCCGAGGATGTTTGGCGTGACGAAAAAATACGTGGTGATCGTCCTTAAATTAATTGTATGTGTTGATGGCTTGTGTTGATCTAAAATGCTTTTGTGCTTTGTGTTGCACTTGTCTAGATAGGGAAAAAAATGGCCCATGCTATGTGACATTGGTCCAAGTATAACTTTGGATATGATCAATAATTTGGGACCTTTGATCAATGTATTTTGTACCTTAGCTTGTATTAAAATATGTCCCATTACAATTTTCTTTATTGCTTTAATACTATACAATATAATTATGTTTTAAATTGATGAATAATATAGATTGATATTGGATAAATGATCGGAAAAGATAATTTATAATTGTACAATGGCTACAATAATTTTGGCTTAAAATGGCTGAATAAGGGAGGGTGAGCCTTGTGTTTAGAAGTTTTCTCCTTCCTTGATCTCATTGCAGGGTGCCTGAGCTAAACTAATAAACAATTAATGCAATATGATCGATAGATTATATTTTGATTTTTAGGCTTTAATTTTATCCCTAAGGTAGAAAGGCCAAAGGGCTTTAACTATTAGGGGTGTATTGGACTGAATATGGCAAGGAAAATAAAATGTAATTTCATATCTTATATAGAGTGTGTTGACATTTGTCAAACAGTTTAGCAGTTGACTTTTTTATGCTTGACCTAATGACCTATGAGTCTATGACTCTATGGTCCGTAATGGCTTAATCCTTATGGATGTGTTACGTTGACATAAGGGCAAATTGAATTTCATTGACTTCTAACTTGTGAAACCGTTGAACCAACCCCTTAAAAAATATAACGAATGGTATAGTAATTATTACACGTGACCATATTAGTAGTGTATAGTCTTCCTTAAGAAGAAAATTAATACATCGAGATTATGTTTTGTTAACATGAAAAAAACTCATCTTCTAAATATGTTTTATTTCATTGTAATAAGATGATTGACCTTGATAATACTACTGCTGCCCTGCTATATCTAGCAGTGTTTTTTAAACTAAGTATGTATACTTACAAGTAGCATTTTTTTTGTATCTCTTTTATGGACTAAACTGGTTCTGATTTCTAAGCTTTATGTGGAGTAGTACTTTCTGCCTTTGTCCATCAAATATATATGCATAGACAACATAGTGACTTTGCTTTATAGGGTTGGTCAAAGTGTAGTATTAAAAAAATAGAGGGAGACGAAAAATACTTTGTTATTTTTAAGAGTGTGTCAATTATACAAAAACAGATGAAAAAATAAAGTATGTCATTTAATACCGAATATAGAAAGTATTGCGTATTATGTACAATGAAATACTGCGTTTAATCTAATTTCATTATTTTCAGAGCTTTGAGCCCTTAGGTAGTTTAGCGGCTGGCGCTAGGCCGGCCTCTAATTACTGGGGGGTATAATTCACATCCTAAAACTATATAAGGTGTGTTGATATAAGTCCAAAAGTCAACAGTTGATTATAACTCTTTATGATTGACGGTTGACCTATGACTTTATGGGCCCATAATCCCTTGTGCATATTACGTTGACAAAAGTCTAAATAAATTGATATCCAATTCATTGACTTCAATATTTGTAAAACGGTTGAACCTACCCCCTACAAATTAAAAATGAATGGTGTAGTTTATTTGAAGTTTGAGAATACTAAAAGTTGACCTGTGTAGATGTAGTGTATGATAATCCTAAGATATAATATTTTGTATACATTATTTTCTCTTTGTGACTCCCTTTACAAATAAACAAAATAAAAATTTAAAATAATCAAGAATTTGTGTCCAATCTTTCTTATCAAGAAACCAATTCACGATTGTACATTGAGATTTTTTTTTTTTTTTTTTTTGAGAAAAACTCTTTTTAATTCGTATTATACTTATAACTAGATAAAACCCATGCGATGCACGGTTTGTTTGTATTTTTTTTAAAACAATTTTATCTCTTATTTGATTGGCTTTCTATCCTATGTGGCTCTCTAAAAACTCGGGAAAAAACTCCATTTAATATATATACTACTTTTGTGCCCCGCGCGATCCCCAGGTTGTTTATTGAATTTTGGATAAACTTTTTGGCTTGAATGTTAAATACGGTCATTATAATCACTTTTGATATTGAAAGATATTTAGACATGCGATATCATACTTAAATTTAAAAGTATTTTTACCGATTAAAACTTATTTTTACTAATTCTCTATTATTTTAAATATATTATAAATGGATCTTATTTTAAATAACTTTTTAAAACGAATTTGATGATGAAAATAGATTCGAGTTATAGGATATTTATTAAAAGTTATGATTAATTTTGTATACATGAATATTAGAATTCTATCAATAATAAAACTCTATACAACAATTTTATCTTAAAAAATCTATCCAAAAATCGATTAAATAATACTATTTATCTCCTACGTGGCACGACACTTGGCGAAAAACTGAAATGCCAAGTGTCGCTGTCTCGTAGCCTGGCTGCGAGACCGGTTTTATTTATTAGTGATATGACTAGTTTTGTGCCCGGGCAATGCCTAGATTGTTGATAAAATTTTAGAATAAACTTTTTGGCTTAAATAAATACGATCTTATCATTCCTTTTGATAATGCATTATATTTAAACTTACGATATCATATCGCTTATTTATATAATAGTGTACTTTTTGTAGTTTTGTTTGTAAATAGATATTTATGTTATTGTAAATTATTTTTATTAAATTTAAATTAATATTATTTTTACTAAAGTGAAAGTATTTTTACCAAATTAAAATTATTTTTATTAATTAAAAATTATTTTTTACTAATTCTCTAATTTTTTTTTAAATATATTATAAATGGATCTTATTTTAAAGAACTTTTCAAAATGAATTTTATAATATAAATAGAACCGATTTATAGGATATTTATTAAAAGTTTTGTGCCCAGGCGATACCTAGATAGTTGATAAAATTTTAAGATAACATTTTTACTTAAATGTTAAATATGGTCAAATAATTCGTTCTGATAATGTAAGATATTTAGACATACAATATCATATGGACTTTACTTTTTGTAGTTTTGTTTGTAAATAGAAATCTATGGTATTATTGACTTGAAATTATTTTTACTAAAGTTAAATTATTTTCACTTAACTAAAAGTATTTTTACCAAACTAAAGTTGTTTACTAATTAAAACTTATTTTTACTGATTCTCTAATATTATTTTAAATAAATAAAATAACAATGCATTTTGTATGCGGCTAGCCACACCATCTGGCCGAACAAAGTAACCCCTATAACCCCTGTGAAACTAACTAAGCAACTTCTAACACTGACTAAGTAACCCCTATCTATAACACTGATTAAGTAACCACTATAACAGTGACCAAGTAACCCCTATAGCACTAACGAAATAACTCTTGTAATAGTTGGTGACACAGTTTGACCAGCTACGTATAAAAGTTTGTGATTAAATATATTACAAATGTATCTTATTTTAAAGAACTTTTTAAAACGAATTTGATGATGGAAATATAATTGGGTTATAGAATATTTATTAAAAGTTATGATTAATTTTGTATATATGAGATATTAGAATTCTATCGATACTAAAACTCTATACAATAATTTTATCTTAAAAATCTATCCAAAAATCGCTTACTTAGCTCATATGTGTCGCAATAATACTTATTTATCTGCTACGTGGCGCGACACTTGGCGAAAAACTGGAATGTCAAGTGTCGTTGTCTCGTGGCCTGGCTGCGAGACCGACTTTATTTATTAGTGATATGATATATGATACTAGGTGAAACCCGTGCGATTCACGGTTTGTTTGTATATTTTCAAATAAAATATTCTACTAAATATATATTTATCTCCTAAACTTTGTGATATTCGTTTGCTTAATACTTGAATTTTTTTATTTTATTTCACAAAGTTTCATATGTGGCTGGTCACATCGTGTGGTCAGGATTACCTGGTCAGGTGTTACTCGGTTGGTCAAGGATTACTTGATCGATCAGGGGTTACTCTGACAGTAAGGGGTTACCCGGTCAGTGTTTTGGTATATCTCAGCCGGACGCACGATATGACTAGCCACACGAAAAATGTGCTGATTTTATTATTATAATTAATATAAATTTTAGATCTAAAATAAATTGCAATTTTTTTTTCATTGGCCAAAATATAATATTTTTCTATGTGATGCTCTAAAATATCTTGAAAAACTCTCCTTTATTTAATATATTTGTAAAATTTTATCATAATGGTTCCATTAATCACCCAAATAATTTATTTCATTTTATTCATGATAAATTTTTTAAAAATAATAATTTTATGTGTCGCTCATAATTTTTTAATTTATTATTATAATCTTACGTAGCGTTTTAAAAAAACTTGTTTACGTGGCATAATCATATTGTAGTATTTTAAAATATTAATCCTACGTGGTGCTTTTTTTTATTTATTAAAATCCTATGTAGCGCTTTAAAAAAACTAATCTTACGTGGCATAATCCTATTGTAGCGTTTTAAAAATACTAATTCTATGTGGCGCTCTAATAATTTTTTGAAAATTAAAATCCTACGCGGCACTCTAAAATCTCGGGAAAAAACTCCTCTTTATATATATATATACACTAGTTTTGTGCCCGGGCGATGCCCGAATTGTTGATAAATTTTACGATAAACTTTTTTGCTTGAATTTTCATTAATACGGTCATGTAATCCTTTTTGATAATGCACGATATTTCTAGACCTACGATATCCTATCGCTTATTTATAAAATAGTGTATTGTTTGTACTTTTTGTTTAGATATCTATGTTATTATTGACTTGAAATTATTGTTATTGAATTTAAATTATTTTTACTGAACTGAAAGTATTCTTACCAAAACAAAATTATTTTTACTGATTAAAACTTATTCTTACTGAATCTCTATCATTTTTGTAACTAAATTAAATATTTTATAAATGGATCTTATATTAAAGAACATTTTGAAATGAATTTTTATGATGGAAATAAAATCGAGTTATAGGATATTTATTAAAACTTATGATTAATTTTGTATATATAAAATATTAGAAGTATATCGATAATAAACCTCTATACAACATTTTTATCTTAAAAAATATATCCAAAAGTCGCTTACTTATACGTGTCACAATAATACCTATTTATCGCCTATGTACTATGATGGAAATAGTAGGTGCCCCCGGGCGTTGCCCCGGATATCCATTTTAGAGAGTGTACTTATTTTTGACATGTTTAATAATAATAATAATAA